ATCACCTGGAGCTGGTAGGTCCAGTCTCCATTCTGGAGCTCCTCCCCAAAGGCCACGCCCTCCTCCTCCAGCTTCCCGTTCTTCAGCCACTGGATCTCAATCTCCAAGGGGTAAAAGCCCATGGCAATGCAGAGGAGGATGGTGTTGGGGGAAGCGGGATCCATCTTGGTGGGGGAGATGGTGACAGTGGGCTTGGCTGGAGGGAAGGAAGAGAAGGAGGTGCATGAGAGGCACAGGAGGGCCCAGAACAGGAGACCAAGTTAGTTAGTTCAGGCCAGGATCCCTTTTTACTTCTGAAAATATTCTATGGTTTGAGTCATCTTCCAAAGAAAATTGCAGCAAGAAATTATAAGGGATCCTGAAAGAGGGGAAAAGCGTGAAATCCTTCCTGATTGGGATCAGTTGCAGTCTCCAAAAAGGAAGAATTCCCCAAATAGGTAAATCCGACAGGGATAAACGCAGGAAATGCCCAGAGGTGGAAGGAACCTTCTGCCAGATGTGGTGGAGATGGAAAGAAATAATGCAGAAGACGGGGAGGACAAACGCAGCAGGATTCGGAGGATTCTCAGGATCTCATGGAAAATGGAACCAGACTTTTAATCAAGTGTAATACCACATTTGTTTGTTTGTTTAGTACATTCGGTTATTTATTAAATGTATTTGCCAAAGTGGCCAACTAACCCAAAGACTTCCAGACCCTCTCCTGCCACCTGCTCTTCGGGAATCCAGGAGAATCTCCAGAATTGGGAACTAAATATACAGAATATGGAGGAAAAATCAGAAATGGTGACAGAAGAAGAAAGAAAGAAGAAAGAGGGAAGAAGGAGGAAGAAGAAGAAGAAGAAGAAGAAGAAGAAGAAGAAGAAGAAGAAGAAGAAGAAGAAGAAGAAGAAGAAGAAGAAGAAGAAGAAGAAGAAGAAGAAGAAGAAGAAGAAGAAGAGGTGGAGGAGGAGGAGGAGGAGGAGACAAAGACGGGGGAAGAGTTAGAAGAAAGAGAAAGCAGTGAAATGGATCAAAAGGAACAACAAATAACACAAGAAGAAAAAAGAAGCTGAATATGAGATATTAATGATGGATATAATAAATAAGAGGGGGGATATTGAGGCTGGAATGCTGATAAATGAAATAGTTACGGAGATACACAGTGGAGACCTAAGAGGGAGGGGGGAAACTTTGAGAAAAGGGAGAGAAAATATCAGAAAATGATGGTAAATGGAGGAAGGATGAAGGGAAAAAGCCAAAGGATGATAGAAAATGATAAACAAGCAAAGACACAACGAATTAATATAAAAGAATGACTTAGAGACAATAGTTAGAAGTGGAAAAAAGACCTGGTATTTACATCAGAGGATCCATTGGAGTCAGCACTTAAACTGATAGAAAAAATAGAAGAGTATGAGAAAGTAGCAGGTTTGAAAATAAAGATAAAACAAAGATTTTAGCAAAGAACTTGTTAGGAAGACAAAAGAATGAATTGGAAATTTTGGGGATCCAGGTCACAAACAAGGTTAAATATTTAGACATACATATAACACCAAGATGTGGCACACTTAAGGAGGACAATGATCTCAAACTTAAACAACAGATTATGACAGACTTGATAAAATGGGAAAATTTACAATTATCAGTGATTGCGAGAATACGTACAATTAAGATGAATGTATTGCCTAGAATCTTATATTTATACCAGACAATTCCAATCAGATTAGGGGAAGAATTTTTTGAAGAGTGAAACAAAATAGTGCTAAAATACAGTACAGAATTAAACTTAAATTGCTACAAGATGCAAGAATAAGAGGAGGATTTGCTTTGTCCAATTGGGAATTATACTACCAAGCGACGAGTCTGATATGGGTAAAGGAGTGGATAACACTAAGGAATACTAGACTTTTGAACTTAGAAGGACATGACTTGCTGTTAGGGTGGCATGCCTTCCTCTGGTATAAGGGAACTAAAACGCAGAGGTATTTTAGAAGAGATGATCTGCGAGAAGCATTGTTTCTAAACTGGGAGAAGATAAAAAAGCAATATTATTTTAAAATTCCACGATGGTTATCTACAACAGATTGCAACAGACTTGGTATAATGGGAAAATTTACAATTATCAGTGATTGCGAGAATATGTACAATTAAGATGAATTTGTTGCCTAGTATCTAATACTTATTCCAGACAATTCCAATTAGAGTAGGGAAAGAAATTTTTGAAGATTTAAACAAAATAGTGCTTAAATAGAGTACATTTAGCATGGTTATCTACTATTGAAGCTTTTTCCTATCCAATAATATATAAAAAGGAAGAAACAGTTAGATATGGTGAGATATTGAATAAAAAGGGTGAACTTAAATCTATGCAAGCGTTGGAATAACAAGGTGTAAAAATGAATTGGTTTTCATATTTGCAAAGACAATCTAGATTTGATAAAGATGTTCAAACAGAAGATATCTATGATAAGTTGACTGGTTTAGATAAAATTTTGACAGGTACTGATGAAAAAGTAATCAAAAATATTTATGGACATTTGCTAGAATTTAAATTAGAGGAAGAACAAGTAAAAGAAACAATGATTGCGTGGGGGAAAAATTTGGATATGGGATTGACTTAGATAAATGGCAAAAATTGTGGTCTCAAAATTATAAAATGACAATGCCAACTGCATATAAAGAAAATTTATATAAGATGTTTTACACGTGGCACTTACCCGGATGAGAACTGAGAGGATGTTCAAGAATAAATCGAATAAATGTTGGAAATGTCATCAGATACCTGGTTCATATTACCACATGTGGTGGACATGCTCGGATGCAAAAAGATATTGAACTACAATCCACACATGGTTGGAAAAAATGACAAAACAACACATAGACTTTAAACCTGATATATTTTTATTGGGAATTATACCGGAAATATATTGTAAAGAATTGAAATATTTGATTGTAAACGTTTTAACAGCAGCTACAATTGTATTTGCTAAGAATTGGAAAAATGAAAAAATACCTATGCAGGAGGAAATGATTAAGAAAATCATGGACTGTGTTGAAATGAGTAAATTGACATTTGAAATTAGAGAACAAGAGGATAAACCATTTTATATGATGTGGGATTTATTTTATCAATGGTTAGATAAAAAGACATGGTAAAGAAATAGATGAGTAAGCCTTACAATAAAAGTCAACAGATTGATATAGAATACAATATGAAATATATAACTATTTGATGAATGTATAATATTAAATCATAATGAATATTAGAATATGGCATTATTGGCTAAAAGAAAAGTTATTTGAGTAAAAATGAGATGTTAGAGGGAAGGGAATATATAGAAAATAAAATATATGCAACGGTGGCAAGTGTAATAATGGGGGGACATAATGGGAGATAATATAAATTAAGAGGAAATTCTGAATGCTTAATGAATGGTATGAAACCGTAAACATGCTGAACACAAGAATGATTAGTATCTTTCATGAAATATTTTATTATCTACTTGTATAAGGTAATGAAGATATATTGCTATAAGTTTGACAATATTGGCTAAAAGATAATAAGATGGAAAATGTATTTATCTAAAAATGAGAAGTGTAAACATGTTGAAAATATGATTAAGGAAGATAGAGAAATTTTAAATGAATTAATGAATTAAATATCCTGTGATATCTGTTATATTCTGTTATATTTGTATAAGGTAATGAGGATATAGTGCTGTAAATTTGACAATATTGGCTAAAAGAAAATAAGATGGAAAATGTATCTTGGGATAGCTATAAATTAAGGTGAAACTCTGAATGATAAATGAAATGATATCAATAGATTGAACTGTAAACATGTTGAATATATGACTGAGGGAAACAAGGTCAGAAGTGATTGTTTTCACTGCCCTTGTGACTTCAAACAGTCACTAAAGGAACTGTTGTATGTGGAGGGCTCCCTGTATTGAGAAGTAGGGAGGGAGGGGGAGAGACCTGGTTGGATTCCCCTCCCCGCCAAAGAAGAAAATCAAATATTTGGGTGGATTTCCTGCGGGGATCAAAGGGATCCCAGATCCCGGACAGGAGGAGAGTTCGGATCCTGGGGAGAAGAGGGAGATTCCGGAGCTCAGAAGGAAGAAGGAGGCAGAACCGTCACCCGGGAGGAGAATCCCCAGTGGAGGCCAGAAAAGGAAAGGGGGGTCCCGGCCTCCCCCTCCCAGGGAAGAAGAGACCCTCCCTCCCCCAGGACTCACCTCTCCGGCCGATCACTCGCTCCTCCCTCTTGGCCGCCTCGTAGTTGTACACCTCGTAGTTGTATCGGCAGAAACGATCCACTTCGGCCTTCTGGTACTGCATGATCTGCTTGTCTCCGTTCCAATAGTCCGCATCCGCCTCCCCCAACGCCGTGACGGCCACGAATTTCCCGAGGTCGCTGTCGAAGCGGAGGAACTCCTGCCGGTCGTAGGAGTGCCTCTCTAGGTACCGCACCCGCTGCGTCCCGTTGAGGAAGAGGCACTCGGCCTTCCCCTGGTACAGGAAATGGGCTGCCAGGAGGAGGAGAGGAGGAGGAGGAAGGCCGTCAGGAGGGACCCCAGGGCCCATCGCTCCCAGACGCTAGTAGAGGAGGAGGAGGAGGAGGGTCCCACGCAGGAAGGGGGAGGGTGGGGGGGTATCTTCCTTTGAGAGACTGATGGGAGACGCTCCTGGAGGAGGGAGGGGGGACTGGAAGGGGGGGAGGAAAGAAAGGAGGAGGGGGGGAGCCTTCTTAAGGGGAGGGCAGGCAGAAGATCCACTGGTCGAGCAGATCTTCTCTCTGCAGGGACCGTTGGATCTCCAGGGGGAGGAACGGAGGGGGGAGGGCTGGAGGGAAGGTGATATCCACACCTCCTGCTCTCTCTTCCTTTGGGGGGGGCAGGGAATACGGGAAGAGGCACAAGGAGGACATCTAGACTCATATTCTTGAGGTCTCCCATACCTTCAAATCCCCCCTTCCCTGGATTCCCCCCCCAACTTTTCTTCTTCCCCAAATCTTCAGCCCATTTCCGTCCCTTTGGGTGACTGTCGGGGATCCCCACCTGTTTCTTTCTCCCCTCCCCCAAAAGACCCCCTGCAGTCCCCCCAAGAGCCTTTCAAAGGGAGGGTCTCCGCCCCCCCCTCTAAAGGGGGAGCCACTTTCGGAGGAGCAACTCAGAGGTCCCCCCTCCGCTCCCCCTCCCCCTCCAGGTCCCGATAGAGCCAGTGGGGGATGATGGGGTTGGGGGTTCTTGGTCCCCTCCCCAAATTCAGAGCCTCCCCCAGAAGGGACCGAAGCTCCCCTCTTGCCTGACCTCCAAAGCCTCAAATCTGAGATTCAGAAGAAAAAGCGAAGTTTCTGCAGAAGCCAAAATTCTTTGGCTCTTTTTCCTTCTGGGGCTTCAGGGCTGAAAATGCCTCAGTTTCCCTCTTCCCTCCGGGCAGAGTCTCCCCTGACTTCAGCCGATGCAGGAGATAGTTCGGTGCAGAGAGAGAAGCGGAGAAAGTGGGAGGGGGATCCTTGCAGTCTTGGGGGGCTGCATTCATCTCGGGGGTCTTTCCTGCCGGCTCCATGCAGGGGGGGCTGGGGGGAGGGCGGAGGGCTTCGGTGGGGGGAGGGTCGACGGGGAGAGGGGGGGTCAGAGGCTGGCAGGGACCTTAGAGATCTTCTAATCTGACCCCCGGCTGAGGCAGGAGGAGTCCTTATCCCACCCCGGACAAACGGCCGTCCAGCCTCTCCTGGAAAACCTCCATGGACGGATTCCCCCCCAATTCCAGGTGGGGAGGGGGCTGCTCCATTGATCCATCGGTTCTCCGGGCCAGGAAATCCCTCCTGATCCCTCCCAGGTCGGATCCCCCTCGGAGGCTTCGGACGATCCCATTTCCCTCCCAGGGGGATCCCCCTTCTCCGGGCTTCTGTCAGCTGAGCTGCGATCCCTGGAGTTCCCAGCCAGTAGGAAAAGTGGGAGCCCCTCGAGGAGGAAGGGAGGGCGGGGGACCTTCCTTTGAGTTACCGATGGGAGGCGCCCCCTGGAGGAGGAAGGGGGGACTATCTCAGTCTCATCGGGAGGCAAACTTGCTGGAGGGGGAGGGTGAAGGAAGGTGGGGGAGGGGAGGTGCCTCCTCCATCCTCCTTGGGTGGAAAAAAGCCATATGCCCCCCACTCTCTCTTCCTTTGGGGAGCGTGTAATCAGGGGAGGGGGCACAAGGAGGACATCTAGACTCACACTTCTGAGGACTCACAGCCGTTCAACCCCCCCCCGTTCCCTGGACTCCCCCCTTCAACGTTTCTTCTTTTGCGAATCTTCAGCCCGTTTCCCTCCCTTTGGGTGACTGTCGGGGATCCCCACGTTTCCTTTCCCCCTCCCCAAAAAGACCCCGTGCAGCCCCCCAAGAGCCTCTCAAAGGGAGGGTCTCCACCCTCCGCTCACTAAAGGGGGAGCCACTTTTGGAGGGGCAACTCAGAGCCCCCCCTCCATTCTGAAAATGCCTCAGTT